AATAATTATAGTTTGGGTCAGCAATTTGCAACTTTTGAAGTAATTATACTTGTAGCAATGATGTTGAAAAAATTTAAGTTTAAATTAGTGCCTGGACAAAAATCACCACCGGAATTTAAAGATGACATTACATTACCGATGAAGGATCCCCTTATGACTAAAGTGTCATATAGAACTAAAAATTGATATACGTTTTTTGTAATATTTTTTTACATTTTGGCGTTATATGTTCATTAATTTCATAATTATTAAGAAAACAGATTCTTGAGTTTATATATACACTCTTATGCAAAGCATAAATTTATTGCAGCCAACAATTCTGCAATTGTGATTTATCTAATTCATTTATTTTGTGTCTCAAGAAACGTCAGAAAACCTATTGAATACGTAAATTATCCTCCTTTTCAATTTAAAAATTATTTACATTCTATTGATCTTGCTTACAACGCACATTATTGTATATACAGTATTTTGGCATTTATGAATTATTATCAATTCCTGAGTTAAAATGAAATGAGTGATAGTGTAAAATAAACAAGCCACCGAAATTCTGGGCACATTTTTTTTTTATGGTTATAGTTAGGTAGAATTTATAATAAGCAGGTATAAATGGGTTTTATGGGTCGAATAGATACCCCTCATTACATTTTAATCCGCGACATTTATTAATAGTAAAAAAAAAAAAAAAAATTGAAACTAAAAGATTTTTATCAATAATATATTAGGCTCTAATTTACTATATAATTTATTTGCTCAATTAACTTGTCTCCTTCAGTTCAATTTCTAGTGAACTGTCTAATCATTAAGCGACATTTCATAAATTATTCCACAGTATTGAAATGCAGATCATCTAAAAAAGTATCGGCATTATCTGGATCAATTTCTAATGACTTATTTCAGTCTTCGATTGATTTATTGTATAATTTCATATAATAACAAGTCTTGCCACGTTGTCATAACGTGAATACTTCATTTGGCTCAATTTTTTAATGAATTATTTAAATCATCGAGTGACATTTCATACTTCTTAGCCTTACGATAAATTATATTAATGTAAACTAGGTGCTTGGTTGTTTAAAGGGAGCTAGAATATAGTATTGGGTATTGTATCGTACTGGTATATTATTCTTTCTTCTTTACTAGAGCATAGGAGAATCTCCATATGTATTGTATTGGTAGTTTAGTACGTAATTCGTATAATATTTACGTATTTACAGTATACGGTATTCATATCGATGGATCTTTAATGAATGCACATCATACTAAATTAATGCTCTTGGTTATCGTCTATCAAATTCAAACTTAATATATGCATCGTTAAGTATTATTAATGCTGATTTGCTTTCGTTTTTTATAAAAGCTTGTCATCTATCAAAGTATTATTCAAAATAATTTACTCGTCTCATTAATTTATTCTTACTCAGGACGATTTAGTTTATGGATTGTGTCTCTTAATTAGTGAGTATAATGTCGGTTATTAGTTTACGGGAATTATTGAATCTGGTAAAATTATATAATCTAAAGAATAGAATTGGTTATACTTTTTATATTAAACTGGGTTTAGTATAAAGAAAATGGGTTCGACCTTTACGGTTACGATTTATATTTAAATACTAAATTAATTATCACTGAGATTGAATAAAATTATTTTTTACTTTTTAGTTAATTCTTGGTTACTTTAAAGATATTTGTAGCTATTTATATCTATATTATTTACAGAAGATAAGCGAGGCCAAAAAAAAAAAGTTTTGTAAGATAGGTTTATGTTTTTTCATTATAAAAGTAGCAGTGTAAATTGATTTATTAATATACATATTTTTTAGATAATAATTGATTATGATTTTTACGTAGTAAAATTAGGTAACAGAAAAGAGAAAATTATGAACAGAAAAATATTTAATAATTTTTATTATGGTTATTTTAATGATAACATTAAATTTTTGTTCGTTTTTTTGATTTGTTGGGAATAATAACTGCAGTGGAAGGGAGGTGATAGAATGGGTAATATAATTATTTTTTATTGATTTAAATATTTAAACATTGTTATATAAAGAGTGGATTGTGATTAAGAAAACCGTTGTAAAAATAGTCTAAACCGTTATTATACAACGAAGCTAATCATTCATATTCAATAATAACTGCTGGATCAGTTCTTATATAAATTGAATCGAATGAAGTAATATCTAGTGAATTCAAAGATGGGGCTCAACTAAGTACAACATACACCTGGCCGTACGCAAACATTTGTTCATCGATAGCAACTGAAATATTAGATATAGTTAATCCTTGTGTTTTATGTACAGTAAGTGCGAAGGCATTTTAAAGAGGAAACTGATGTCAGCTTGCTGGTAAGCCATTTAAAGGAAAACGTTTAATTATTTTTTTTACGGTTGCTGCAATCATTCTTAGTGGTGCTGGAAACACGACACTGATTGTGTCATCATTGATTAAATTTATGATTCCAATAGATCCATTATAAAGACCATGTTCAAGCAAGGAATTATCAAGATACATGACATAGGCACCTTTTTGCAAAATTAATGTTGCAGGTAGATTCGTATGGTGGTGGTGTTGGTGGCAAAAGCACCAAAATTCGCTGCGCCGAGTTCGACGTCACGGGACCCGAAAACGTGATGAAGCCCCGATTCGAAGCTCCTATGGAATCGTGAAGAAATCGTGAGGAAAAGTTTCCACGAAGCCCCAAGGCTTATTGTTTGGGCAGTGCCAGAAGCTTAGCCGGAAGAGGCAAAGCGATGATGGCATCATGATGGGCTTGGGTTTAGATTAGAAAAAGTTCAATCTTGTTCTTTTTTCTTCCCCCCGCATGTAAGTTGTTATAAATACGGGCTCTTTTCGCCCTTTAAAGGAGGAGTAAAGTGTGGTATTTGCCAGAAAACATCTCAATTTGAGTTGGTTTGTATTGTCCCCCATATACTCGATACCACCTTACCTTGCCAAATCATATCCGCCTCTAGTATCGAGTATATAGGGTGGTTTGGGATACATATCACTTCACCGACACTCATTTCGCCAACACCTCGGTTCACGACAATCGATTCACTGACAAGCTTATTTTACCGACACTTATTTTACCGACATTTAATTCACCGACATGTTTAATTCACTGACATGTTTAATACACCACAATTGATTCACCGACAATCATTTCACCGACATGTTTATTTCATCGACAATACGCTTCACTGACAATACGTTTCACCAACAATACATTTCACCGACAATAC